TCTTCTTCTTCTTCTTCTTCTTCTTCTTCTTCTTCTTCTTCTTCTTCGTCCAATCACGGTCAAGTGACTTACCCAGGGTCACACAGCTAGTAAGTGTCTGAGACCACATTTGAATTCAGGTCCCCTGACTCTAGGTGCTCTGTCCACTAACCACCTAGCTGCCCCAGGCTGTACTTCTTGCTGACTGAAGATTCAGGTCTGCAGTTATAGCATATACCATTGACCTGAATCAAGGACAATATTTATTACAAATATGAGGTAGGCCAAGCTCACAATCAAAATCCCAACTAGAAATAAAAGCCATAAAACAAGAAAAGGGAGGGAGAGGGGTCACAGCAGAGAAATAAAGAGATAACATGATAAGCTGCCACTGGTAACAGTTTACTTCCAGAACATGGACTCTAAACACAGACTGGATATCTCACAGGCATCTCAAACTCAGCAGTCTGAAACAGAACTCACTCTATTCTCTTTGCCCTCAACTTTCCAAACTTTTCTAGGCACCATACTTGACTCTTCACTCTCTCCTAATCCAACATATCTAATTTTTTTAAGAAGTCCTGTTGAATGATTGCATATTTATAACCTATATCAGATTGTTTACTGTCTCAGGGAGGGGGGAGGGAGGGAGAGAATTTGGACCTCAAAGCTTTTTTTAAAAATTTTTTTAAAATCTGTTTTAACACATAATGGGGGGAAACAAAATATTATTTAAAAAAGAAGTCTTGATGAATGACTGCACATGTATAACCTATATAGGATTGCTTGACATCTCAGGGATTGTTTTAAAATTGTTTTAATATGTTTAAAAATTGTGTTAACATGTAATTGAGGGAAAAATATAATATTATTTTTTAAACTTCTTGTTGATTCTATCTCTATACCGGGATTATCTGGCTCACCCACAGCAAGCAGCCTAATTTGGTGTCTTCACTTCTCACCTGGATTTTTGGTTGCAACCGCCTAATAAATGGTTTCCCTACCTCCAATCTCTCCCCCTCTCCAACCATCCTTCACATAGTTGAGAAAGAAGTATCCTTAAATTACTAACCGTGTCACTGCCCTGCTCAAAATGCTTCCGTGGCTCCCTATTGCCCCTTTCAAGATCCTTGCAAGCCTTTCCCAGTCTGGCTGAAGTCTACCTTTCTAGGTTTCTTTCACAGTGCTCTACTCTGCCCCACTCTCTATTCTGGCCAAACTGACTTCCATGCTGTTACTGGTACAAGACCTTCCATCTCCTATTTCCACGTCTTTGCTCGAGCTGTCGGCCATGCCTGTAATTTGCTACCTGCTCACTTCCACCTCTTAGAAACCCTCCATTCCTTTGAAGCATAGCTCAAGGCCCACTTCCTACAGAAAACCTTTCTGTAAGTTTCCCCCTCTCCACCATCTGCACCTCAATTATTTTGTATTAACTTTGTATGTTTTTAATAGACTTATCTATATACATATTGTTTGTCCCAATAGAATGCTACCTCCTTGAGGGTGGTGACTTTTGTCATTTTGGCCTTTGTATCCCCAGAGTCCAGTAAGGTGTTGGGCAAACAGTTGGTACTTAATAAGTCCTTATTGACTGATCGATTCTTTATATAACACTAAATTTGGAAGCTAAAACTCATTGGTTTATTGGTTAGACAGATACTTCAAGAATTTCCAACAATGAGGACTATCTCTCTCTGTCTCTGTCTCTCTGTCTCTCTCTGTCTCTCTCTCTCTCTCTCACACACACACACACACACACACACACACACACACTCCTTATTATAATTAAAAGAGAATTGGATTTTTTTCCCCTAGCTCTATTACCAACTTGATGAGGGTCCTTAGGCGAGACACAAAACAGTTTACTATATTATCTCGTTCAACAATGATAGAGCTGGAAATTATCTCAGAGGTCATTGAGTCTAAGCCCCCTTTTACAGGTGAGAAAACTGAGGCTGGGAGAGTTGTAGCAGTAGTAGCAGTAGCAGCAGTAGTAGTAGTAGCAGTAGTAACAGTACTAGTAGTACTAGTAGTAGTAGTAGTAGTAGTAGTAGTAGTAGTAGTAGTAGTAGTA